GTCAAGCCCCGGATGACGTCATGGTGGATGCGCCCAGTGAGGAGCCGCCTACGGTACCGGCAACCATCGGCGCTGCCGAGGTGACGACACCAGCCCTGCCACCCGGTTTTGATGGGAGGCGCAACGAGAGGGTGATGATGCCATCGCTCTCGCCGGGATTTGGTGGTTGAAGGGCGCGGACTACTGAAAATCGATAGACGGGACGGCGATCGTGACGGGACGAGGCACACGCTGGCGGATGACGCGATGACCGAAGGATGCCTGAGGCCAGCTGGCGCGACCGGAGCTGTCCAAGAGAATCTCTGGCGGAGGAGGAGTGTGTGACATGTTTGGCTGGCATGTGATTGTACGGGGTGGACTGTCGTGGAATGTGTGACTGATTGGGTCTTTTCTTGTCCGAGAGTGCGAGTGGACTCGGAAGGGTGACGAGAGGGATGAACCAATGAGTAACAGCTGTACCAAACAGACACTCCTGTAATAAAAAGCCGCGGGGAGTCTGTCCAGGCAGCTCTCCGGCAGGCCTCTGTGTGACTCTCTCTGTGTCCCAGCCGCCTGTATCTCCCACCGTCGCGCCACAGCCCCCCGCCGGCTCGACCGCTCACCGGTCTTGCCCTCTTGCGGTACCCGCTGTCCGCAAGCCGGCCTAAGGAGCCCCGAGGCTCTGTGGCGTTTCTCACACTCACGCTGAGTGTTGAGTAAGACATTCTTGGGATCCGGAGTGACTGAGGGCGGCGCATTACGTAAGGCGAGCGCCGTCGCTGGTGCTGGAGTGCCGCAGCACCCTACGGGAGTGCGGATCGGCCGGTACGCGCAACGAGTGGACGCTGTGAGGACGTTGCGTCGTACGGAATTGGTGGAGACCTCTGCGGTGAGGTGCGAGATGTTTATGAGCTTTCCGGGATCGCCCATGGAAGGGGCTGCGGTCATGGCGGCGTTGGCTGGCGTTGTCGGATGGAGCGTGAGATTCCTGGGCGCTGGCATCCATTGGGTGGGGGAACTTCTGGTGACTCTCCTTGGGTGGCTGGCCTGGATGGTCAGTATTGATGAGACGAGGATGATTCCCATTATAGGAGCGGTCAGAATGGTCTATAATGGCCTGGCCCTCCTCATTTTGTTCAACATGACTGCCGCCATTTTCTGCGCGATGGGGCAACTTCTGCAGTGACTGAACCATGAAGATATTGGGACGCCACGTTTCGGTCGATGCGCCCTTTGTACAAGGAGAAGAAAACAGCCTAATAGATGTCCTGGAGAATACTTCCGATAGAAAGCCTGATTATGAGTTAATGAACGACTCCTTGGGGTAAGAGATACGACGCTTACCAGCCACGCCACCGAGCGAGAAGCCCATGTATTCTTGGTTTACTTTGGTCTGAATGGTAATCATCCAATGGCTTTGGGGGAGATAGGGACCCGATCCCAGTTGATCCATGCGCGAGTACGACAGATGAAGGAAAAAAGAATTGAAAAGCTCAAGCATTCCTCTCGTGGTGATACTTGGAAGCCCTACCTAGGTTGAGCTAGCTTTAGCATGGACAAACGGTTGCAAACATAGCCATCATAGTGTCGGGACCTGCCGGCTACACAACAGCCATCTATGCTGCTATGGCTGGTCTAGGGCCTGTGCTCTACCAAGGCAGTCAATCGGGCGCCCAGGCAACCATTGCCATGGACGTACATAAATTCCCGGGTTGTCCTGAAGGTGTGCAAGGGCCTCAACCGATGCTTCATTTCAGCAGCAGGCCTGAAGCAATGCCTGCCTACCAACTGGGATCCAGTCCCATATCCAGAACAGAGGCCACACACGCTGCACGCTATCCATGGAGGGCACAGACAACCAAAATCCGATTGAGCATTTGTGGCCACCGACGAGGATCTCATCCAATTGCTGTTCGTTGCTGAGTGGACGCCAGTGTGACGATTGGATGTGAGTGGATTAATGGAACACAGCAAACTCATTGGGGATGCAAAAGATCCTTCTGCACTTGATCAGGGTAGAGCTTCTGTAACCACAAACTCTGGCTGGGGAACTGCCTCCAGACAACAGCACCCACTTCACATTTCATCACATCAGAATGTTTGCGTGCTTTTTCGGCGACCCTGCCCGTTGATGCAAAGGGAATTCCGCAACATCAACCCACCATATTGGTAACGGCAGCATTCTGAAGACCAAGGCTAGCATGCCCATCCAGGCACCTCAGGCACAGCCAAACTGCCATCAACTGCACCCCTGGCAAAGACTGCCACGCATTTATACTACATTTAAAAAATTCTACAATATGAAGATCAATACCAGGCATGGCAGCCGGTTTTGTTCAGTTTGTCAGTTGTAAAAGTCACCTCCAACCGCGTAAATACCGCCAAGGAATGCAGGGAACAAAACAGACTCCCTCCCACCCGCCCAATCCCAGAGTCTGTGTTCCAGGCCCTTCGGTTGGGCACCAAAAGATCGAGTGAGGTTGGATACGCAGGATTGGCCAACAGCTACTGGCCTGCCGACCATTTCTTTTCATCCCACCGATCTGCAGTCTACCTTTGCGTCCCTGTGCCAAGCATGAGCAGCTGCCCCAGTGGCATTTATGTGCACCAGATAACAGAAACCACATTCCATGCACCTGCACAAGGCCCATACACACACTGCACATCCGAAACATACCTCAAAATCCCGAGCTTCTGTGCACCAGTCGTGGTCTTGGCCTTGGCAGTCGTGTAGGGGAAGTACAATGGCAATGTCCCCTTCACAACACCAGCATATTGAGGTGGCTACGTACTGCAAGGTTTCCCAGCCGACCCACCTCTTGGGCCGCTGCACAGAACCTGGCACCTGACAGACTGCCAGCACAGCTGCCCAAGTTGAACTACGAACAGCACTTGCTACTGGAGGCTTGGGCTGGTTGGGTCTGTTCCAATGGCACGCTTCCTGACGATTGCCTGGGGACCTCGGCCTTTGGGAGGCGCTTCGCGATCTCTTCAAACAGCTCGTCCACATTGGTGGCCTCCTTGGCCGACGTCTCCACAAAGTACAAACCATGTTCATCGGCATATGCCCGTGCCTCTTCTGTGGGCACCTGCCGAGAGCTGCTGTCACCCTTGACCAAGTCAGCTTTGTTTCCTGAACAAAAGGGCAGCGGACTCTGTCAGCCAAATGTGTGGCACGTCAGGGGCATGCAATCGCATATACCTGGCTGAGGCGTGGCAGCCCAGTCTTGCAGAAAAATCGCAACAGGAAGCCATCTGCTGGTGTCGAACTCGGTATACGGAAAGGTAACAGGTAGCTCACCTACATCTGGGATATCCCACAACAGGCACCCTGTTCGTGTGGTGCACGATTTGTGTCTTTGCAGAAGAATCTTACCTCTCTGCCAGTGCGGAAAGGCAGCCATACTGAGCAAATACATTCTGGGTGGACAATGGGAACAAATCATAGGCTGGGAACAACAGCTGTGAGGATGATCAGCATCCAACTGCTGGTTGCAGGGCACTGCTGTGTTAAGATTCGACACACGCATATTTTCTGCCTTTCGACCGCTGCGTCAACCGTTGGTACATTCAAATGACATCCCAGCCGTTCCCAGTCAGGTAGCCACCTGGGTACCCTGCCCAATCCCACTGCTTGTGCTGTGGGGCAGGCTCACTGCCCAGGGGAAATTGCACACCAGGCAGCCACTCTATCCGCACCTGCCAGCGCCATGATCATATTCGCGTTCCCCGTTCGCTGCAGCTCCTTCACCCAATTCTTCGCCCGGACGAAGCTGTCCGCTGAGGTGACATCGTACACGATTATGGCAGCAGCGGCGCCCCTGGCGACGGGAGGGAAAGATTGTGATCGAAAGGCTGTGGCAAGGGTCGGCGCTGAGGTGAGCAAGGGGCCCGGGGGGAATCAGGTTACCTGTAGTACATGGGCGCCAGGCTGTGGTACCTCTCCTGACCGGCCGTGTCCCTGCGTAGGGGACAAGCAAGGCCGCGTCAGCGGCGACGCGACGCAGCCCGCGACCAGGCGCGAGGGGGCAGCTATAAGAGGGTGCTGGGGGGAACACTGGCTGATGGGCTTCAGGGCCGCAAGCAGAGCCCCGCTCGCGGAGCCAGGGGCGGGCGACGGCCCCTGCCCGCACACCCACCATATCTCAAACTTCACGTTATACTCCGGGAGCGGCTTTGTGAGGAACGCCGCGCCGATTGTGGACTCCTGCGTCCGGCCACGGCCGTCGAGGAGGCCGGCAGAGTCAGAGCAGCGGCATGCGCACAGCGCCGCGCCACAGGGCGACCCGTGCGACCGGGCGCCTGGGGCGCGGGTCACGGAGCGGGCCCGCGGCGGGATGCCTTCGGAGGCCCTGCAAGAACCGGGGAAGCACGGGCGCGCACCGGCGTTGCGCAGGCCCTCGAGATCGCGGGGTGCCTCACCTGGTAATCGAAGAACTGGCCCTTCACGAAGCGCAACACCAGGCTGGACTTGCCGGAGCCCATCTCCCCGAGGAGGACGAGCTTGGCTGACTGCTGCTGGGCCAGATCGGGCATCATGTTGCGGGCGCTCGAGCCGACGGACTGGCGGGGGCCGAAGGGGAGTTTTGGCTGTGGCCTGCCGCCGCGGTGGCCACGGGAGGGACCTGCGGGCCAATGGTAATCGAACTTCCTGCGGCCTTCGCACGGCTGGATTAATCCCCTCCTTGCTTGCAGGTGGCGAGGAATCCTGTGTGGGGTGATGGGCAAGGGGCGCCTTTGTGGGGGGAGACGATGAAGAGTCCATGAAGAGTGATGGAATCTAATGGGCGGATCAGGACGTCCGTACATTAGCACATGCACGACGCGGGGGCGACGGCGCAGGGTGCCTGGTGCGAGGTGGGGCCGGCTGAGCGGGATGGCGGACTCTGCGCGGTATAGGCTTGAGGAGCTGACGCCTGTAGTGGCCGCGCTCCACAAGAGCGGCTATTTCGAGAAACACGAGCTGAAAGTGCTCGTTGAGACGATGCACGACTTCGAGTGCAAGATCAAGAGCACCACCTTGAAGAAGGAAGATTGGAAGAGGTGGGAATCGGCGGTCGAAATCCCTGTCGTTGGTTCTGTGTGTGAGCCGATGGCATGGCCAAGGCAGGGTTGCTGTGTCTTGAGAAACTGGCCACTGCATCTCATCAACACCCTTGAGAAATTGGCGGAATGGGAATGCGAGCAGAGGGCACATTGGCCCGTGTTGATGGCGTTTTCATCAAAAGCCGTCTTTCGAGACACAGTCGCTGTGCGCTGCAGGTACATTGATCACCAGCTGAAGGTTGAGCAACTCAGGAAAATCAGGCAGGCGACCAGAAGAATTAAGAAGCTAGGCAAGACTCTGCAACCCATCGAGAAAGATTGGCAACTGCCTGCTTGCAGACCCTTATTGCCCGGGTTGTTCTGTGGTTATTCTGCTGGAATCACGACGGCAAGAGCGCAAAATGGGGTATTGAAGCTCATGCCTTTTGCCGGTTCATTATCGTTTTTGCCGCTGCTGTTTTTTCTTTCGCATGGGGGAGTGGTACATGCTGAACATTCCTGGGCACACAGGTGAAGACGAGGGAAGGCTGGCTCGCAAAGGCATCGAACGGCACATTCATTTTCTGTATTCCCGGGCAGTGCACAAATTTAAGGGTGCAACAGAACTGTGGGAAGACTGGATCGATTTTTGCCAGTCAAGCCGATCCTACAAGAGATTGTCCAAGGTATGGAGTCCCCTGAAATCGTCCTCGTCCTAATTTCGCTTTCTCCCTTGCTCTGTGCCTTTGCTCAGCTGGCAATGTGCTCCATGCTGAACTAGTCTTGCACCTCAGAGCATAGGCATCTACCTGAAGTTCAATGCCAATGATGTGGTTGCCTGCTCTTTTTAAAGGTGATCCATGAAGCCCTCAGCTACAATCCGGGGTGCACTTCTTTGCGATTGAAGGCAACAGAATGGTATGCTCAGTGAGTTGTAGGGTCTGCAGTGATTGACTGGAGATTACAAACAACAAGTCTTTGTGGGTTCATGCACTGGATGAGGGCATGCCAGATGCTTGTGAGCTTATCAATGCAATGAACACTGTCCAAGCATCTGAATCAGGTTGGCATTGCCAATTCGGAATTGCAGATTCTCGACCAACTGCATGTACCCTGGGGGACATTGACCAGTGACAATTGCACCTTTTGCTCAGGGAGTTGGAGCACAACGAAAACCCAACCACTGCAAGAGTGCTCTTCCAGGATGGTTTGCGCAAGGTCAAAGGCAATGCTGCGAAAATCCTGTGGATCCACTACTTTCAGATGGTCAGTTGTTTGATGGAAATGCGATTCCTTTACTCCTGTCTTTCTAGTCAAAGCAGTGCCTTGCTTGTTTTAGGCATTGTCAAGCACACTTGTATTCACACCATGTGTTCACTTCAACGAAAGCCAAATGTCTTTTCGCAAGTGCTGTATTTGTGCACACTCATGACTCAGCTGCACCCGGGGCTTTTGCCCATGTCCATCACCCACCACAGAATCGCACAAACGTGCATCGACTTGCTTGCCGAATTTGTTCAGTAGCCTAGGCCCATACGGGTAACATGTTGGATATGTGTCGCCTACCTGAGTGCTGCTGACTTGATAGCTGGTTGATTCCACACCTGTCACTTTGTGTGCAGGAACTGCAATATGTGCATAAACTGAAGAGCCGGCAGGAAGCTCTCGGCATCTCTCTATCCGGTGAAGGTGATTGCACTTGTGGGAACCAGGCTTGGTTTTTACGTTTACGTTTACGTTTTTACTTTTACGTTTTTACGCGTAAAAACGTAAATCTGCAAAAGGGCCTATATTTACGGCTATTTTTACGTTTTTACGGCTCCCTGGAACACCCAGGTTACACGATGAAAGTTGCGTACAATGATCATTCCTCCACCATCTGCACACCCTCAACACAATGCCCACCTCGCCCTTGGCAAGGGCGATAATGGCGTTTAACGAAAACTCGTTTTCTGCCCCTTCCAGAGCATCTGGCTGCCACTCTCCGGATTCCGTAAGTCTGTATGTACTGTCCTTATGTACACCGGATAGTTTCTACGTTGTGTTTACATATTTTTACGCGTAAAAACGTAAAAACTATTTGTACGCATAAAAACGTAAATAAATAAATCAGTTTTTATGGCATAAAAACCAAGCCTGGTGGGAACCACTCATCGGTTATCCTCCAGACCATTGTTGCCACATGCATTGGAGTTTGTTGCCCACTCCCATGCCATTTATTGGCAGATGTACACACTCTTCAATTTTCCTCACAGCAGTGAAATCAACGTGTGCCAATGTTGGTGGCCACAGCTTGTGCAAGAGCCAGTTGGCCAGAAAAATTCACAGAACTGGGCACAGTTCATCTTCTTTTGTAAACTGCACTGAAGCTGGGAAGTTTGCTTGTGGCAGGTGATGATGAAGGCGATGAAGGTAGCAATGCTGAGGAGACGGCAGTCAGAGAAGTCCTGGGAGGGGCACTTGCGAAACTGGTTTTGAGGAATGCCCTGAGTGCCTTTCCAGTTGACCTGTCTATGAGAAGGGCATTGCTGAGTGTTCTGAATAGGCACACAATTGAATCTGCTGAGGGCCTTGAAGAAATTATTTGCTGCGAGCTCAAAGAGAAGCTAGGAAAGGTGAAACAGGTTCTTTGCTTGTAACACATGCAGATATGTTGCAGCTCAAGTTGTCCGTGTGTTGTGACCTGCTGTTCTAGGTTGTCTGCAAGCTGGGAACTCGGTTCAGTTATTCATGTTGGTTGTTCAGTTTGGGCTGCCACTATTGGCTGCTGCTTGCAGCAACTGACAGCAAAACATAAACATTAACTACTCACAGGGAAACTTGGTCTTGTCCAGTTCAGTGTGGCCTTGTGACCCTGTGGGGCCGCTTCGGTGGCAACAGAGTTCCGATAGGAAACATATGAGTAAGGAGTGCACAATGTTCCACCAAGTGTTTCTGTGGCGCCACACAGTGCAGAGACACAGTGTTTGCCACTGCAGATGAGACAATTTGTGTCTCAGCACAAGCAAATGTTCTCAGAGTGAAGGAAAATGAGTCAACACCTTGCTCATGTCTCATAGGCATGCGCTGTTTAGATAGCCTTTCCAATTTTTGCAAGATCTTTGTTCGTTGTGATTAAAGACAGTCCAGGAGCACCGTCACTGGATATCTGGAACCAGGATGCTTCAGAATGGATTATACTGCAATGTTTTGTATCCTACATCCTTTGCTTTGCCTGCCAGTTACACAGGTGTGAACGATGAGGATGAGCGCATCCATCTATGTGCAGCAACAGCAGCAGTCTCTTCGTCTTGGGCACACATCAGAGTGTTGTGTGGTGCAGCACTGCCAGAGCAGTGGCTGGTTTGTTCGTTTCACGGCGGGAAGCATCCCTGTTCCATGTCTAGATGTGCTGATAACATTGCGTCATCGTGTGGTCTGTTGCCAGATGCCAGAGGCTTGGGATGTTGTTGCCCAACACTACTATGCCAAGGCACTGGGGCAGAAGCCATGGACACAGGCTCTTAAGGAAGCGACATTGGCTTTTGAAGAAGGTCTCCACCATGCTCCGCATGTGGTTGACTACTACGTCGACTTCCTTTTGCAGCAGCTGAACGGCCAAGAGCAAGGAAAAGGAGACCCAAGCATGAACAGTGGTTGCAGTAAAGATGATTCACAGCAAGAAATGTTGAAACTGCAGCTGAGAAATATTTGTAAGCAGGCGTGCAAGGAGGGCAGCTGCTCTGATAGCGTTGTGCTTTGCTGGCTGGATTTGGAAAGGGAACTTGGAACACTGGAGGTAAGGTGTGTTGCAGGCATGCGGGAGTACCGCTTCCGAACTCCTCCACAGTGTACTGTCGCATGTTCGCTGGGCAACAGGGGTGGAGATGTTCCATGCTGATACCAGCTCAGAGCTGTTTTGATTTGTGGATTGAGGTGGAATGTTGTTGTCAGTAGAACCCAGCACTGCCGACAACATTCCTGACATGTGTGCCTATTGAAACGTGATATTGATTGGGCCATTGCTATGTTGCTTGTGTTCAACATTTCAGACCCTGCTGCTTATGTGTCTTTCTCCAGCATCTACAATGGCAGATGTAATCAGCCCCTTTGCCCTTGTTAAGACACAGTTGTTCATCTTTTGTTTTCTTGTTAGTGATAGGAACCTCCTTGTATTTTTTTTTGGAAAGGGATGTGAATGGCGTTGTGGTGTTGTGGGGCACCAGAACAGAAAACTCAGCCCATTCTCAGCATAGTCGCACTCCATTCATTATAGACTCATCTTATTAACAACCCATGGTGTATCGCTGCATTCACCAGGTACACAACCATTCAACTAGAACTTTGGAGAGGAAGCTACAGTTGCATCTTGGTTTTCAGCATTTGAGCGCTTCTTTGACGGATGTAACTGTACTTTACTGTACGTAAAGTGCTGTGTACTGCAATGCAGGAAACTGCAGGGGCCTGTGCGCTGGCCTGCAGACTGAGGCCATTAGTCCCTCAGACATGGATGCGACATCTATCAGTAGAGACACAGCTTTCACAAGGCACCAACAGCCGCTTCGTAAAATTGGAACAGGTGTGCTTGGATGCATTGAGGCATCTGCTGGAGTCACCTGCTGTGTGGAGGGCTTGCATGGATGTCATGCTCGAGTGTGGTGTTGTCTTCAAACCAGTCCAAGAATTGATGATCCAGCTCGCGATGCGAGGTGTACAAAGCTCAGAGATGGGAGAGCTGATGGGGGAGTTTGTGTCCATCGTGGGGTACGGAAGTCCTGTAGAGAATCCACATTACTGACACGCTGATGCGGTGTTCCATTTTGGGAATGTGCTCATATTGCCTGCAGGTGTGATGCACAAAATGTAGGACAGAAATAGCTGTTGTTGCGCGTTGCCCCTGGCACATGGATGTTCTGGTGCAGTACCAAATTACTATAGTGCACTTGTGTGCGCATTCTGCTGATTCTACAGATGGTAACTGTCGATTTTTGCAATAGAATTTGTGCCAAGCACCACAATGGAGCAACAGGCATGCATACTGGCCTTCAGAAACTGGAACAGTGTGTTTTGCCGCACAAAGCTGATGTTGGGTGGTGTGGCAATAGCACATGAAGCGCTGAAAGATGGGCTTCCATGCGACTTATGCGAATTAGTGATTTAGAATTGTCCTGTAGTTGCGTATTTGCAATGCATAAAGAACCAACTTGGAGCATGGCAGTGCTTGAATACTGTGTTTTGTTCAAAAGATTTGTAAAACGAACGTGTGACTTTTTGTCACTTCAGCCATCACCCTGCCTCTTAGTGACTGTTTATTCCTGTAGGCGAATGGATGGCATCGATTGTGCCAGGAGTTTCTTCAGGAAGATCACTGCCAGTGCCCTGTCTCTTCATGCGAGTTTCTACAAGGGGGTAAGTAGTCTTTATTTACTTCTGTCCTTTCTTTGTCTGGTTGTCACGGTTGCTTGCCTATCCTCTGCTCCCAGCAACATGTGCGAAGCGGGATGCTGCTGCAGCTCAAACCCAATACAAGGACCAGATTGACTGTTCCATGAAATCGATTGCTGCCCTGCACTAGAATAGTGAGCATTCATGAGTCAGAACTTGTGCGAGGTTGCTAACTGGATCTGTGTGCCTTTGGCTCCATCCCACCTGTACATGCCAGATCTGTGCGGATGTATCCCACTTTGTACTTGCAAACGCTATGAGCAAATTGCTCCACACATTGCCTGCATTGACAAACTACTGCATTCCAGAAAAAAAAATCTTGTGCAAGTGCTGGCTCATGCTGATCCGGATGGTGGTGCCTAATAGCTCGAGGATTAGAGGTATGCAAGCTATTGTAAATCCGCAGCCGCAAGGATAGGAAGTTGTGCAACCCCCTGCCTTTGCAGCCTGGAAATGCTGGCATCATCAGGCAGCCTGGAAATGGGCACGGATGCATGCCTGTACACGGTGTTGGGAATATTCAATCTGCCATGGCCAGTGCCATGAGCAACGTTAATCTCGCCGGTTGGTCATTGTCTTGGGGTCAACTCAGCAATTTGTGCCTTCTGCTGAGCAGGACAAGGTTTCTTGCAAATGTTTCCCGAACTCCTATTTTTATGCGCCCACGCTTCAGCAGTGGAGAAGACTTTGTCTTTGTCTTGTCTTTGTCATCCTACTGCGTTCTACTGTGGCTGCTTGCCTTCTCTTCTTGAAGCCGCATGTCTCATCCAACCAATGCTAAATGCAGGTGATCAAAATGGAAGAGGAGGAAGTTGTGTCCAACACTGATGCAAAAAGAAGAAAGAGAATATCCAGTCTATACGAGGTGAGTGAAGGAACGAGATGGCTGTAAATTCAGGAGCTTCCAGTATTCTATGTCAACTGCTGTCTAGGCCGTGGATAACCTCCCCACACTTGGTTTTCGCAAAAGCTGTTGGTGCTCACACTGTCAGCGGGCAAGCGGCTGACTTTCTCTATTTGTGCCCGTTTCTTTGCGCGGCCCCTTGCATGGGTTTCTGTGTTTTGTGTTTGCCTTTGTTGCATGGATAGAAGAGTTGACCGCGTTGGTGCTCTGAATGCTCCGGCTTTTTGTCGGAATTGCATCCTCTTGAGGCAAACGTACTCTGCATTCGCTGTGGCAAATAGACGTGAACGCAATAGTTGTTTGGCAATCAAATGGCATGTTCTTTGAATAGTAAAATTTCAAGGCATGCCCATGACGCGCGCTGCATCAAAGAAAGGTTGCATCTCCTGGACGTTTATGTCCTGGATAGAACCATATCATCGATGTGTATAATACAGATATCTAGGATATATAGGATACAACGTGCGCCTAGGATATATATTGTATATCCAGGATGGGGTCCCATATGCTGGAGATGGAGCTTCTGTATCCAGTATGTGATGCCCATATCCTATTCGATATCCAGCATATTGGGAAGGATATGGGACCGCCATATTCTGTTGTGCATCAAGGACATGCAGTTGTTGCCGGCTTGAGTTTGATTGTACGTCTGTCGGATGTGACCGTTGGAACAAGCATTGAGTGAATGTTGCCGTCATCGCAGGCTGCGGTTCTCAAGGCTGGTCAAGAGGATATAGAGCTGTGGGTGGACTATGCCAGGTTTGAATATAGAAATGGTGGCAATTATGGACATTTGTTGTGGCGCGCCGAAAAGGCAGGACATTCTGCAGTGGACTTGGACAGATTATGGCAGAAGGGAATAAGATGATGGGTGCTGGCAGGGTACATTGAGTTGGTATGCTAGGCCGTAGGCAGGAAAATAAGCTGAAACATCAAGTGTACCAGGGCAGGTCCAGCGTGTCAAGACTTACCTATTTTCTTGTTTCCTGTGTGCCACACTATCGTCGCCCACTGAGTACTTGTCGGTGGCCGAAATTGGATGCAAATGAATGGATGGCTGTGTCTGCGCCGAAGTGCATGGCTGTTGTCCTTCGAAATTATGCACGCCTTGGGCACAAACGAACAAAATGGCAAGCTCGTTCGGATTGATGCATCGACATGTCGAACCAGCAGGTACATTTGCAACCAGAACGCGGTTCCAGCCCAAAGGGAATGACCTCACCCCTGGCACAGCTGTAACGAGCTGAACACATCACTCACAGCTTCCTGGCTGGTGAGCAGTGCCTGTGTGCAATGCGTACGGGAGCCTGCAGTCAATGGAAGTGGCCACATGCGGAAGGCCATTGCGGTTGAGTGGTCCCTCCTCCCAGGAAAATCAGGCAGATTCGCCTGCAGGAACCACTGGCTTGTCCTGTGGTCAACGCAAGCAATCTCTTGGTCCGAAGTTGGTGACAATGAAGCGTGCACACGGGAGGCTCGGTGGCAGTTGCTCGGCATACTGGATCAGTACTCCATATCATTTGGAGCCCATGCTTTGGATCTCACCAAAGAAAGCAGCCCCGTTTGGAAAAAGCTGTCAAACACAACTGGATGAGAGGTTGCTGGGCGTGTATGGTTTCACCTCGGACTGATTGCAAGAGTTGGATGGCCGACCAATATCTGGTGGAACTCATAGCTTAGATCTGGGCGGGGTAGTGAATCGCAGCCACTGCAATCCCGACCAAAAATTGGGTTCCAATCCTGCTGGAATGGACAGTGATAAGTCCAACAGTATGATTGCTTGCGTCCAGTGGACGGTTCTTGCTCTACTGTCATAGCCATAGGTGCACGGGTCACGGTGCCGTGCCATTTGGCAATGGCGCTGCAGCTTGGTTGCAAAGGCGGCAATTGGCGTGCAGTTGCCTGAGGCGAATTGCAGTCCCAGCACCGACCGGGCGTCGTTCAATTCGGAGTGTGGCGCTGCAGGACAGCTGGGCGATGCGGTCAGCAGCGGTGCAATATCAACGTATTAACGCCCATTAGAAGACAGCCCTCACATTACGGTTGTCCAAGGGGCTCTGCCTCTGCCACTCCCGAACGAGAACTTCGTCGTGCATTGGGCCATCGCACTGTAGGCTTGAGGCAACCTCCCACGGGGCATCCGCATGTGGAGCCCGATGGCAGTGCCCATGCCCAGGGCGGCCGCAGCGTGTTCCCATGCCCAGCCCCAACGCAACCACGACAATCGCCCAACGCAATCGACGCCTGACGTATGATTGACACACCGCGCTCCAAGGTACAGCGCGGTCGAGGCGCACCTTCCCAGTCCGTCCAACGTCGGCGGCCAGGACGACGGCTCCCGTGTAGGGCTTTCCGTGGATGGCGCCCACGACATGTATGGCCGCCGGGCGTCGCGTCCCCCAGGAAAGCAACATCGTCCGGTACCGATGTACCGGCACCCGCCGGTGCATCACCAGCACATGGGAAAATCCGCGACGCGCCGTGCCGGCCCCGTGCTCGGCGGCGCACTTACCGAAACGGCCCCAAAAAAAAAGCGGCGCGCGCGCATTGAACCGCCGCGCCCGGTAAGTGCAGAGGTCGAGCCGCCGAGCGGAGGGAGGGAGGGAGGGGAATGGAGACCGGGGCGGGCCGCGCGGTGTGCCTCCTGGCCCTTTTTTTCGGCGTCCTCGGTGTAGCTGCGGACGGCTGCGAGCCTCTGGTGTCGCGGCTGGCGTCGGCGTGCCCAGAGCGTGCCTCCCTCGGGGCGTCGGGGGACGAGAGCCTGGGCTTCGCGTCGGACTGCTGCCGGGCGCTGGCGCGGTTGAACGACTCCGGGTGAGAGGGGGGCGCCCGCCGGGCGGCTGGCCGGCTGGGCCCGAGGACGATCGCAGGGGCCCGCGGGGCTGCGATGAGCGCGCGGCACGCGTGGTCGATTCAGATTTGGGGCAGCCAGGGGGAGCGAGGGAAGCCTGTGGCACATGCATGCATGGATGCATTCCATTGCCGCCTCCGCACGTCACCTGATCGCCGTGTGGGATCGCGCCCACCGCCGTCGGTTCTTGCATTCCGAGTCGATCTGTGTGGCGGGCAGGTGTCTTTGCGAGAACGACCTGCGGGATTTGCTGTGGAACGATTTGGATTCGCGGCACTTCGTGGCGGCATTGGTGGATGCTGGCCGTCCGCCCCCCGCCGGATGCGGGTTGAGCGTTTTTGCATCATTTGGAAGCGAAGATTGCAGTCCCGTCCGAGATCTCTTCACCGATCACCTGAGTGAGTGCTTGTCCCGCGGGGAGATCGCTCTCTTTGTTCCACGAAAATGCAACAGGATGGGATGTGTGGCGTTTGTGTGCAGCCTGGGGTGCATTACAACAGTCTGAACGGTCGAAAGAGTGTGTAATATGTTGGCCAATAATGTGCACAAATTCCTGCAAAGCATGAGGCACCGTATTGCATTTTGATCGATGATTGTGCTCTCAGACAATTGCACACCATCCGATCATCGTATGGTACTGGTAGTGCTGCTTGGATCTATTGTCTTGCAGAGGCATCAATATATATATTTTGCTTAGAGCGTGTCTTTGTATCACAACTGTGACTTGCAGGTTTACCGTGTTTGGAACAAAGACATAAATTTTTGACGATGGAACGATAATTTATTTCGGCGAAGATTCCTTTCTGCAACAGGTGACCTACGTGGGGGACAAGACAATATTGCAGAGGGGACATACGCCACAGCTCGAAGATTGCAAGCCCAGGGCAACTGCAAAGGAGGAGGTCACATAATCAAGGTTCGCACAGATATGCAAGTGTCTGTTCCCAAATGCCCCCCAGTGAACAATGTCGATTGCCCCCCGCAGTAGCTAAACTGCAATATATTAACACACCACACTGCACAAACACTGATATGAACTTACTTTTGAACGCTAGTCTATATATTCGCCGCTTGTCTCCCAAGCGCTGGACGGGATGTGTTCGCACATTTACAAGGCTGCGCGCTGATGCACTGTCATGCTCACATTGGCAGGTGCTCTAGATCTGAGCGCCGCTCCTTCGAATGATTGGACATCTCTGATAATGAGACTGATCTGACTTTGCTTAGGTCTTAGAGGGCTTCAAAGAAGCTTTTGGAGAGCTGCTGGAGGGTGTCAACTCTGACCAGGACGTTTCCGAATTGCTCCGTGGAGATGGACCAGTCACAATGTTCACGCCCATCAGCACAGGTATTCTGTTGCAGCAGTTGCTGCAGGAATTCAAATGATTGAGAACGGCCTATCCATCACCGCTCATCAGTCGCAATGATGTCGATGTGATTGGCGCATTTTATTATACTGTTTGGCATCGATGTGCTGCATTGTCTCCCTTGTGTTCGTATCGTGGCCTCTGCAAGGCGCAGATCCCGCACATGCACGCATGAGGTTTACAATGGATTGGTGCAGAACAGGAACAATATGCTCCTTTGAGTATTACCGGAAATATTTTGCTGCCTTCAGGTCATCTCAGCAAGATATCTCCACTGAGATACGTCTCCAAAATTTTGTGTTGGTTGCGCTGCTCAGAACGTGCAGCTGCCCATGAGTTGATTCGATGCACCGCAAAGTGAATGGAAATAAGAAGCTCAACTTGTAGCTATTGGCAAGGCCGCTCTCACTGCATAGACGTTGGCACATTGGATTCGGAGACCCGCCGTAGCTCCTCATTTATGTGTGGCGTGTGAAACTGTGGTGGCTGGCAGGTATCCAAGTTGAAATTGTTGTGGATGGGAGCACCGTCGTTGAGGATGTGGACACCACTCTAAAAAGACACATTGTGCTGGGAAGTTATCCTACAAAGAAACTCAGAGGGGGTGACAACCTTACCGCAGAGAATGTGAGTGAACCGTGTGCGGCTACTGAGCGTACGTTTCATCATGAGAGCATCTACAAGCATGACACGCTGCGTTTTGGAACTCTCCACTTATACCTATGGTCGCTTCATCACGCATAAATGGCAGAGCGTAACAACGGTAGCCTGATGTTCCCCTGGCTAGAACAAGATTCCAGTCCCACATCTTATTAGTTCTGTGGTGAGGGTAGATTCTTTAACGCCTGAAATTACGTGTGAATATTTCTTTGCAAAACGCAGGGCGAGATTTTGGAGATAAAGGAAGAATCTGGTCGTTTGCTCGTGAACGGTGTTCAAATCATTCAAGAAGATATAAGTGCTTGTAACGGATGGATACACGGTGAGTGTCCCGTATGGCTTCGATTGCCATAATATCGTGCTGCAGGACTGACATGGATCTACCATCTTGTTCCTCTGTCGCAGCTATTGCATGGCTATTTCTTCTCTTCCAAGTTGGGTACAAGCCGCATTAGAAGATTTTATGAAATCGAAGGTGGTCTTCCTCGTCTGAGAAATGGACGCATTTTATTTGCCTGCTGCTTCCATTTGTTCAAGTCTAGTTTGACATCCTTCCAAATGAGTCAATGTGACCATTGATTTGCGTGCGATGACGCAAATGCGAGGAGCTGCCGAAGGGACCTTGAACCTTGGGTTTGTGCCGTGCTCACTCTTGTTCTCCTTTCCCAGTCATCGGAGAGCCTCTGTCTCCCTCTGGAAAGAGCTCCAGCAATGCCACTGAGGATGCCAAAGCCCCAGCAAAGGCTTCTCCTTCGCCTGCGAACTCAAGTGAATCACTTGCAGCGCCTCGAGCAAATGCTTCGCCATCGCCCTTGCCGTCGGCTCCCTTGGCGTCTGAGGGCTCAGGCCCCGGAGACGCTTGCAAATGCTCTGGGGATGGCGTGATTGGAGGACAAGACACAGAGAGGGCAGGCTGCAGACAGCATTTGCTCACCGTTAACAACAATCTCCTCTTCTGTTACGTCCAAGTAAGCCTGGAACTGCAGCCTTGGGTGTTGTTTTGTTACCCGGCGGTGAATAAGCTCGCGTGGCGGGGTGCACATGGGAAGATATCGTGGGGATGTTGATGAAACCTATGATTCAAAGACACGAGGTCTTTAGGCATTTTGTCTTCTGTACACCTGGCTCATCCTTGGGCAATGTATGCAGGTTTTGCTTAAGATTTCGACATTTTGCACCACATTTCGGCTACATTTTGGAAATCAAAAAATGTATGTTGTTTTGTCAGCGGTGTTATGTGGCGCAACGTTTCTGTCCTTGAGTTGCTGCGTCTCGCGGCATCAAATGCACGCCATGTTGAGAGCCGTCTAATTTCAAGTCTTGAAGGACCAGAGGAAGACAGACGGCTCGCCTGAGACCCCATAGTGGGCTGTGTACAGGATGCAGAGGCTTGTGCGGCAACCAATACTGTGGAGATTGCCGAGTCAGGTGGATTCGATGGCGTCAGCTGGCGAAACTGCTCACTCGAGGAAGCGGATGGCTTGCCCAGCGTGGGGAAATTGATTTCGGAAGAAGTGACTGCTTTTGAACCGGCTTGGATTAGATTGTTCAATCGCGGCGACCTGCCAGCCATGTTGATGGATGGCGGACCTTTCACAGGTTGGCGGCAGCTTTCCATTGCCAGAAATATTGCGTCATGGTGTGTGGTGTGTTGGCAATTGAATTTGAATGGATCACTCAAAACATTAGTCTGTCGCATCGCAAGACGGGAGGGCAACAAGCCTGCCTCATCGCTGAATAACGAGAGGTTCTCAATTGTGCTCATACGTATAATATACGCATATATATTATATGCGTATAATATACGTACACGTACGCCATATACAATAATTGCCTAAAAATATTTCGCAATAATTGATATTGGTAATTTTTATTTGTAGCGAACAACCAGCGCTTCCTTTTGAAGTGGGGAGGATCCTTAATCTTTTCGAACACATCACAGAAATATGCCAAGGCATGCGTTTCGGGGCAAATGAGGAGATGCAAGGATGTGGGTGTGATGAGGTGGAGTGCGTGCGGATGACGGTTGCTGCGCCCTTTGCAATGGTTGCACTAGACTAGTACACTAGTGGTGGCACTAAGTGTTGTTTGCACTAAGTGCCTGATAACTTTGCTCGCCACCCTTTCCCGCAGTACTTGTGCCAAACGGAGCAGCACTCCAAGCGGCGGGCCTTGACGGGGATGAAGCCGAAATGCTGGCCCTCGCCAAGAATCACGTCATGGAAGGCAGCCTATCGGTGGAGACCCTCCTCTCAAAGGTCGGCACCGAGGGATCAAGCTTCAAAACACTTGGGGAAGCGGAGCTGAGAATTGCAGAGGATGCAGAGGGTGACATCTTCATTGGAGATGACATTCACATAGGGCTGCGTGATGTCGTTGGGGCCAATGGAATGGTGCACATGGTCGACAAGGTGGTGAAACAGGGCTCTGAAGGTGCGTTGTTCCACGACACATCCCGCCCTCAACCGATGGCTGACAATAGAACTGATTGATCACCAACAAGCAGCAAGGACCACGTCAGCGAGCAGCACCAGACAATTGAGCTCCATTCTCCGTTCGTCGACTGCGAAACACTACTGGTTGTTCCACTGATATCACAGGATCTTGTTTGTTTTGATAAGACTTTTGCACAGAAAAATTGCGAATTCTTCTACAGAACAGCTACCACGTTGTGATTTTGCAAGATCCCGTTCGTTGTCCAATGAAGCGGTCCAAACATTCATCAATGACGTAAAGTCACAGACTTCGCTGCTGAGAACTGAATCGGCGAAACCTTGAGGGCTCGCCACAACACACAGCGCATTTTGCATGTCAGCAGTGCGTGAGTGTGTATTTCATGTTGCGTCCCCCTGCAGGCGCTTCGGCTCCAGGACCGCCCCGTAGGTCCCTTCCACCGGCTGCTATACCATCCTCTGTGTCCACGCCACCGCCACCGCCACCGCCACCGCCACCGCCACCGCCACCGCCACCGCCACCGCCACCGCCACCGCCACCGCCACCGCCACCACCGCCGACGACGCCCCTCCCACCCCCGCCACCGTCTCTTCTCCCGGCTTCACTCGCTCCCATACCTTCAGTGACGCCCCCACCTGCTTCCCAGCCACAGCTTCCCCCTGGACAACCTCTCAGTCCGCTGCTTCCGGAACCAGCGACAGGGAGTGCGCAGAATCTGCCCCAGACGTCCACCCTCGAAGCTCCCTTGGGGGCCCCCAGGACGGGTAGCTCGTGCGCCTGCTCGAAGGATGGCATAAGTGGCAGAGTCGACACCGGGCGCCCGGGCTGCAGGCGCCACGTTGCAGGGGAGAGCAGGGTATTTTGCTACGTGCAGGACCCGGATAATTGCCCATTCGGCCAGCCGTCTCAGGAGTTCCCCGGGGCCAAGGTTGTGGTGTGTGCAGACCCGTGCGCGTGCACCAAGTCGGGAATATCTGGTGGTGTGGATACAGGGCTGAGGGGATGCGCCAAGCATGTTCGAGGTGGGTGACGAAAGTTCCGTTTGCTTTACTCATTCATGCTTTTGTGCAACGCGTAACCGAATTTTCGTGAAAGTTGCTGGACGCAGCTTGCCGATGCCTCTGGTGAATGCTGGACACATCCGAAGGGTGGGCATTGATGGGAGAAGTTGAGTCACTCACATCGCTGTACATCAGAGTCTACATCAACGGCAGGATGCTAATTCGTGTGTCTGCACGCAACACCAATGGATCTTGAAAACCGATCTGGCACCAGTTGGCATTTTACGCAGAGAATTCTTAACTGCCACATTGGCTACTATTAGCATCCAGCTAAACTGGCGTTCGACCGTGCCGGTTGATTTCAATCGGCCTGTGCTCTTTCCAGACCAACCAGAACTGTGCTACGTGGAGAAGCCCGACGAATGCCAGGAAGGTTTCGCGTCCAGGAGGTACCCCGGTGCTCGTTGGCGCTATTGCACTGAAGACGGCCCAGAGGGCTTTTCCGCAGCGCCGAGCCCGGCTCCAAGTCTCTTCCCTGGCGCTTTGGGGCTGCAGAATTCGCCCCAAGGCGGACGTCCCAGGCGGCCAGTGGGAAGGCGCCGCGGGCCCCGGCGGGCAACTCCTGGGCCACGTTTCCCCCCTCGTGGTGATCCCTGTGAATGCTCGAAGGTAAGAATGGTCGACGTCCAGTTTGAAAGCAAATCTAGCAATGGGTGCAATTGCGTTTACATGGAATCAGTCAGTAATTTCATTGTCTGATGTGTAGCACCTACTAAATTGTGGCATAACCTAGTATTTTATTATGGCGCAGCCTTTTAATGCCTATCTTAGTCCCAAACACGGTGGTGTTACGGATTGTTGAAATGGGGAATCAAAAGCACAGCATCTTCATTAGAGGCATCTGTGGCTGTTGAACTATGTCAAAGCGTGCTGTCGACGGCAGCGAGAGGTTGAAATGGAGGGGACGTGATAGCAAGATTCCACTTCCAAATTTCCGCTGCAGTATAGGGCGTTGCCAAACGTACTGATTGGTCTCGGCCGCATCAAGTCGATTCAAACTGGGAAGTCTTCCTTTCGCGTATCGAGTTGGAATTGCGACCTCCAGGACTCCATTGCAATAGTGATGGGAGCGCTACACGAAAATATCACACACATTTTGAAGAACATCGCAGTAGGACACATAAACGTGGTGTGTTTTTGTGGGAAACATGTGACAAAGACCGCAGGTTTATAGCCCCATCGACTGATCACGTGGCATTCCAGGGACACATAACTCTTCATCAGTGGCAGCGAAGGTGCAAACTATAAATGTCTTTCCTTGGAGACATGTAAAACGGATTGTTTCTCTTTGTGCCATAGGACGGGAGGAGCGGTTCTTTTAGCACAGGGCAAGCAGGTTGTGGTCGATACGGACCTTTTGGCGTAGGCACGATTTGTTGGGTGGTAAGTAGCGCACCGCCGTCTGACGATGTCATGTCATGATGTCGAAGTCATCGCTGACTTTTCACGTCGAATGTATACCGTGGAGAATTCAACCCGTCTGCATCAAAAGATTTGCCGTTACTCTGACTGCTCCGCATTCTCCTTTTCAGAGCTTTTTTGTTCACTGTTAATGTCGCTCCGCCCCAAAAGGCCAAGCGGTAAGCCACTACGCGGAAAGTTTTGAAACCCACGGTAGTGCCTTGACATGAGGGAATATGCTTGCATCTGTGTATCCTTAAGCTTCGCTAATAACGACAATAGCTTAATGTTTCATCTTTCCAATGCCACCTCATTGAGCCTGTTTGGCACCCCCACCTCTTTTCACCTCAGCAAAAAAGGGCGTTGTCTTGAGTGGGCGTGGCGAAGCCCTCTCACTGTCGCTTTGAGTTCTCCTGTTGATGCAGTCCAAGCTGATTC